ATGTGGAAGGGTAGTGTTAGAAATAATAATATTTCTATTATTATAGGATGAATTATAGGATGCAGACCAGGCAGGTAGGCTGGGACCCAAGCAGAGTAAAATCAGCTGCTTGCAGCAGGGACATTTCATGCCCAGAGCATTGAGAGGAAAGAACATTAGGACCTTTCCTGAATAATTTGTTCCTGAGCTAACAGATTGTCCCCATGCCCGAGGAAAATTCATGCTGTACTGATGGGCACACTCAATTCTTTTCCAGTAGATATCTACAAATAGAAATAAATTGCCACCTCCCAATAGTATCAACTCCCTTATCTTTAAGGTTGTAACTGGTTTTCCATTACAAGCCCAGTTCATTCCTCCCTAACATCACTGGTGCTTCAAAGTTTTCCTATGTGTTTTACAAGAGTACATACTTGGGGAAAATTTTGGAGGTGGATCAGACAGGACATTCCTGAGTTATAGGGGTGGGGGGAAGTGCAACTCACTGTGACACTTCTTCCACTTCTTTTTGTCATCACATATCTCAAACATGACTTTGCCCAGAAATGTCAAATGTGTTTCATTCCAGAGTGCTTGATGAGATTCAGTGCAAGGGCTGGCTCTATCTCAGTAGATCCATATCATAAATGTTTGCAGGTACCAGCAGATTTTAGTAGGCTTCCTAAAGTTCACCAAGGCCCTAAACCAGCAAACCCCTAAGCTTGTACTTAATTTAAAGCATTAAGGTTTTTCCATTGACTTCAGCAGTTAGTCATATGCTGGAGTCCATTGGTAGATAAAGGCCCCAACATCTGATAACTCTGTAAAAATTTCCCCAAACATCTTGCAACACTTATAAAGTTCTTCCTTGGTCTGCCCCACTATGACACATGCTTAAGTCCAGGTTAATGCATTCTTAAGCTGTGCCAAATTCACTGGTCCCAGAGAAGAAAACTGATGAGATTCAATGAAACCAAACCATAATCAAGCATGTGCTTGTTCAGTGCATACAGAATTAAAGACATTCCCTTGAGCATGGCAAGCCTTAGAGGATCTACTATCTCAACATCCATTGACTTGTAAAACACATGTGTGGGCCCGTAAGAATAGATGAATTCTGAAAAAACAGCCATTTGAAAAAGAAAAAGAAAACCAGGGAAATTTCCAGACAAAAACCATCATGTTTGCCTTTTGACTTCTGAATACCATAGTAGTGATGGGAACACTAGAAAGCAACAGGCAAGCAGATAGACACACGGCTGGTGGCTGAAGGATGAACAGAAAAAGAAAGAAGGATATTTGCAAGTTAATAATGTTTAAACAAAGCATATTAAAACACTTTTGTAACATTAGAAAAAAACCCACCTAAAATGATGCTTAAGATTATCAGTAATGTCAGTCCATTATAACTTATGATGATTCATAAGAGAGAACAGTCATGGAGCTGGAAAACTTCAGTCTGTATAAGTTCTGCTTTAGTTTTCTATAGCCTTGATGGGGCTATAGCCTCTATAAGCTTTTCAGGGTGATTTTGTGCCTCAGATTCTTCTTTGAGAACCTAGGGAAATCAGGCAATGTAGGTATGCCAGATGGTTCAATTCAAAATCATGTTCCTAAAGGACAATCGATGTAGAATTGCCACAGACCCAAAAGTAAAAACTTATCTTACTGAGTGGAAAAAAGCTGGTTTCCTGCATCTGTACTTAATGACAAATAGAAAAGCCCTGTCCGGGAAAAATATTCCATATGTGTGGGAAGTATTTTTAAACAACAAACTAGATGAGAGGAGCAGGACAGAGCCACCTGGTACTTGCAACAAGAACATTTGAGACCATGCCTAGGGGACAGAACAGGCACTTTTAAACTTTGTGTCCCTGAACTAACAGACTGTAACTGAATGCATTTGCCACTGTAATGATGGACTTGCCTCAGGGTGATGAGTGCCAAAGGGCACAAATGAACTGATGGCACAAGGGCCAAGCAAGTGTGAGAGAGATGCCACCCTACTGTTTACATTGCTAGGGGTTGTCTTAGTTTTAGGAAATGATAAGTGAGGGGGGAAGAGCTAATGGAAAAGACATATCAGCAAAGAGGTTATGATGTTTCTTCTGTACTTTTCCAAACTGTGCTTGTACTTACCCAGCTGAATCCCCAGCTACTGTAAACTGGGGTAGGTGCATTGACTTCAGTGATTCTCTGTCCCTATAATTCTGTGTTTTGTTTTCCACTCAATACACAGCATAAGAAGATAGAAGCCAAAGCCCTATATTCAGCACAAACTACTTCTAGGCCAGAAACTTGGGAACAAGGACATAGAAAGATGAAAATGGATTAATAAAGAAGGACAATGGCTTTTGTTAGGACCTGTATCAGATCCTTTATATCTAAAAGGTGGCAGTACTTGTGTCAATATTTTTTGACTTGTGCTTTGGAATTTTTGCTCTGCTCTTCTGGGTTGTGAGCATGAAAAATACAAAAGAGTCTTCTACTTTTACAGGTTCCTCACGATGCCATTGCCAGAGGCACTGAGGACCAGCTCCTATTCCACCAATAAGGCAACTAAATGGACAGAAGTATTGTTACTAGATTTGCCCATCCCTTTGTGGTGCGCTCATTTATTAGAGTCACATTTCTGGGGTCTCTGCAATTCTATCAATGTACTGCTTGTATCACTTGTATTTCTAGAGCTCTATCTATCCCTTCTGCAAGTCCTCACCCCTAACGGAGCTAACTTGAAGGGCTTAGTTTCAACGGGGCTGGGTTCCTCCAGCTACCGAATCAGTCAAACACACACACACATACAAATTAACAGAGCACATCTGAGCAGGCAGGGCACCCTCATGTGCCACAGACTCAGCACAGGAACAGAGAACATCTGAGCCAGCTGGGTCAATCAGCATTAACAGGCTGACACCCTCATATGCCATGGCTCAGCACTTCCCAATTTCTTGTCCCAATTGTCCTGATACTAACTCCCATGATGAGCAGACCCCACAGGATTTTGGGGATTTACAAGGATCTTTGGCTTAGGTAAAAGAAGCATTGCTGCAGAGCATATGGGGGGAGCTGAGGAGAAGAAAGAGTAAACAAGGTTCGGAGAGAGAGTATGGCAACCAGCTTGACCATAAAAGTTATTTTATAACCAGGGGTGTAGGTTGTAGCTATGTTGGTCTAAGGACATGGGCAGACAAGGTTCTTTGGGTGAATCTGATATCTTTTATTAGACCAACTAAAAGATATCAGATTCACCCAAAGAACCTTGTCTGTCATTTTATTACCAGGTTTATGAAACTTATGATGATACTAGTAGTAACTGCCATACAAGGAAAACAAACAAAAACAGTTACAGTATTACATGATTTCAATTGGGTATTTTGGGAAATTTAGCTCAAATCTGATCAACAAAAGTTGGGTTTATAAAGTAATGCCTGGAGTAAGAGAGAGAGAGAGATTAAATCAAATCTGAGGCTTAGAAAGTGGTCTTAAACAGAGAGAGAGAGAGAGAGTTGGGGTCTCACCACTCCATGAAGCTTGAACCAGTCAAGGCTCCAGGCGTTTGCTGGAGCTTGCAGACGAGCTGTTCAGTTTCAGGTCCAGAGTGCTGGAGACAGGCAGGGCCCCCAGCACGATCCATGGAGGTATTCCAGGCAGAGAAGGAGAAGGTGAAATCCCAAAGGAACTGGTGCAAAGTTTGGATCCAACCACCAGTACAGGAATTTGAGCTTGGGTAGGGGTTTCTGGAGTGAAACAACAATGGTTCAAGGAAGAACACTAGATTTGTTTATAGGTGAATGATGGCTCAAGGGAGTATATCGGAGTTGGTTTGTTATGCTGGACAATGGGAGCTGATCGTTCCCGGCTATGGGCTGCTGTTATTTTGAGGAAGCTCACAGTGCAAACAGGCAGATTTAGTGTTTTGGGTACCAAAAAAGGAGTCATCACTGGAATTGGTCTGATAAATGCTGAGCTGGGTGTGTGCAGATGTGGGTTGATTAGCATTTGGAGCAGAGATCCCCCATCATGCAGTGCTCCCCTACTTCTCTGGTCCCAGAGTTCAGTGCAGTCCTTGCCTTGGAATCTCTGTTCTCCACTCTGACTGTTATTTTGAGGAAGCTCACAGTGCAAACAGGCAGATTTAGTGTTTTGGGTACCAAAAAAGGAGTCATCACTGGAATTGGTCTGATAAATGCTGAGCTGGGTGTGTGCAGATGTGGGTTGATTAGCATTTGGAGCAGAGATCCCCCATCATGCAGTGCTCCCCTACTTCTCTGGTCCCAGAGTTCAGTGCAGTCCTTGCCTTGGAATCTCTGTTCTCCACTCTGAATGCTAATAGAGGTGCCTCCCTGTCCCATCTTTGATGTAAGTGAGACTAAGGGAGTTGCCTTACTCCTATCACCCTTGCCTGGAGGGGTTTAGGAGTGTCTCCCACTGCATCTCCATTGCCTTTTTTAAGTCCTTCTCTGATCAGTTCTGGTTCAGGCAGAGGTGGGGGGGGGTGAGTCCTTCGTGAGTCAGGCAGGCTGGGTACTGCGCCAGGGTTCCCCAAGAACACAGAGCTGACAGGTAACAGTATGTAAGCGTGACCCTATTCCATACTGCAGGAGTGAGTTGCTGGAAAACTGCTAATCCAAAACGTGAATGGGTCCTCCTCTACCTCACTAATCTTCTGTGACTTGGGCTCTCCTCTCCCAGCAAAGTAAGGAGTTAGCAAATAGGCTACTGCATTTCTTTATGGCAACTTTGTAGCACATCTGGCCCTGCCTGTGGTAGTATATTTTTGTAGGGCTTCAAATGCTGCAGCACTTCTAGTATTACAATGTAAATGTTTGTCCATGGCCTCTGGTGTCTAGTAGGTAGAATAGTTTCTGGCCCTGTCACTTGAATCCTGGAACGGGTGGACATCCCACTAGGTCAGTTCCTGCATCTCTTAGAACAAAAATTAATGATTCTGTGAATACATAAATTAATATTCAGATATGGGCCACACCGGACATGGGAGTAGGCAGAGGCAATGTCCTTCACAACACAACTGTATGTTCTTTGGAAGAGAAGTGTTTTACTAAGGTAAGTTGACTTGCGATTTATCTTCAGTTTGTAGAAGTAGGGGAGTCATATATTGCTTGTTATTTTAATGGTGCCAGTTGGGTTTATTAGGGAAAATAGCCATACTTAACAGCTTGTCAATGGATCTAAACATTTGCTGCAGTAAGGACATTTTGTGTGTGTGTACAACTTGATGGATTTTTGGAGCAGTTACCATGGTGAAAACCTCTCCAATTCTTAGATCTATTTTCAGATCTATACGGCTGTGGTGAGCTAATTACAGGTTTGATCTTGGAAGTTCAACCCATTTCAAACAAAAGCATATTAATTAGAAGACAATACAGCTGGGTCATATTGAAGATTCACACTTCAAAGGTTCAAAGTTTGCCTCTGATGGTAAAGACTGATTTCATTGCATAGATATTGTACATATGTAAGTATGTATGCTCCAAATATGAATGTGAAGATGTATATTTATCGTGTGTACCCCCATTACAGTTCCAAGCATGCACAGCTTCAGTTTCCTATATTTAAAGTGAGAAATATGAGGCGGTCTCTTGATTACTGATTTGAATTCAGTCCCAGATAATACTGATAAGAAATCATTACTGTTTTATGAATGTTTATTTTAGTGATTTCTATCTGTTTCTTAAGAAACAGAGACCAACTGAACAAAAAAGAAACCATTACAATTTGTGCTAACTGGGAGTCTCATTAACTGGGTATTTCATGCCTTGATGGCTTGAATTTCAGAGATGCTGAGACTACTCAAATTACCACTGAAGTTGAGGGGAATACAGGTGTTGGGCAGCTGAAAACTCAGACTTTTCTTTTTTGCTTTATGAATCTAGTGAACTTGACAGTTGAGAATAAAGAAATAGCAAATTCAGAGTTTCAAGCCGGGTTTCTTCAGCAACTATAATTCAGTGCCCTACTCCACATATTGGCACTGAGGTGAGCTGCCAGGACTGAGGGGGTCGGATTCTGATCTCATATGATTTCATTGGGTCTGATTCTCATCACTTATGACTGACTGATGTTATTAGAGGGACTCCTGATTGACCCTGCTATAGTGAAGAGCAAAGTCTGACCCTGCTGAACTAGATCCTCCTCCTGCTAATTCCAGGGCAAACCAGAAGAAACTTTGTTGTGTGAAACCATATTTCTCAAGGCAATGCTGGCTCCCATGGCAGTGCAAAGTTATCAGTCAGCACTTAATCTGCTTTCAGGACCCTAGCCAGTGAGGGATGGCCACCTCTCGGCTGTGCTTGGAAGCCCCCGATAAATGGCTGGCATGCTGGGAGGTGTGTAAAAGCAACCACTGCCTTCTGGCCTTGGCCAGTGCAGGCATTTGCCTGTCTTTCCCCAACTGAAGAGTGAATGTGAGTTCTGCTCGTTAATGGTCCAGTCTGTAGCTGAGAGAAGATTGGATCGATTCCATCTCAAGCTTTTTGACTCTCTGTACTTAACCTAAGACACAAGTTCTTAGTAATACCACACCGCACCTTAGTACTAGTCATGAGAAGAATGTCCTTCCTTCAGCTACTGTCACCCTGTCCTTTGTTCACTTTCCAGGAACATTCCACTTTCATTCAGGTGATTGAATGCAACTGGCACAAATGTTCATGGAAAGGGAATTTCAAAGTCATGTGCTGAACAGTCATGGCAGTGTTTGTATAACACCTTCCCTAGCCCCACTCCCACCCGCCTTGCTTCCTCCATTGAGTTGGAAGGGAAAGGACTTATGAGGCTCACAGGAACTTTTCACTAGTTTAAGCACAGAGAATGAACCCACTCAATCGCATTGTCTGGTTACAATACAACTGCTTCTTTTCCTTACACAGATGCACATCTTGGGCTTCCTTCTTGCCTTCATCACTGCCATCACCTTATCCAATGCCCAATGTTACTTTGAACCAAAAAAAGAAAAGTCCAGGAAAGGTAGGAAATGCTAACTTCTGCATTGTCTTGGACAGCGTATATGAAGCTACTTACAAAAGACTATAAAGGGGCCATTTTAGTTTTGTCCCTTTTAGTCCATGTCTATCCACCATAGAAG